ATTAAAAGAGGTCTCTGTAGCAATTTATAATAAATTGCAAAATTATTGGCAACATATTGATGAAATATCACATGTAGCTGCATTCTTAGATCCATGCTACAAAATATTTTGTTTTTCTGGAAAAACAATTCAAGAAATTTTTGATCTAATACAATGCTGACTTCCTATAAGAAATACAAATATAACATCAACTCGAAAAGTATCAATATTTATAGCACGATTAACACAAAATTCATCAGATATACAACAAATTGATGAGATACAACGTTATTGGAATCTTCTACTTTATAATGATGACATTGAACCATTAACATGGTGGAAAATGCACCAAGATGAATTTCCGCTATTATCTAATCTTGCACAAAATTATTTAGCAATTCAAGCAAGTTCAGTGTCTTGCGAACAGTTATTTCCAATTGCTGGAGCTATTATTAGCAAGGCAAGAAATCGATTAACAAGTGAAAATGCTCGTGCATGCCTTTGCTTGAAAAGCTGGATAGATAAAAATATTCTTGGACCTGAATTTGAAAGTATGTAATGATCATTTAATCAGTTTATTTTTATAAATTTTTCAAGCTAAAATTTATTATAATCTATTAAATAAATAACTAAAAATAAATATCGAACAAAGGGATATTATATTTATACTATTTTTTTATTCATTATTTTGTCATAATAGTTTTAGTAGATCAATATTTCACAATTAGCGTGATAATAAGTTAGAACAATAAAATTAAAAAACAATTGTCTATTATATAGAAATCACTTATATTACAGAGTTAAAAATAATGTAAGCGTAGATAAATTTCAACTAGCTTCAGTAAATAAATAGCTAAAATCATGCAACAGTAATTTGAAGATGTACTAATAAACTAGAGATTCAATCCGGATAAATCCATCCTCCATTTAACCATATCTGAGTTATCCGGATAATTCCAGATGGCCAAATATCTGGATAATCTAGATAATCTAACGGATATTCGGATAATTATCCAGATATCAATAGTAAATGGATATC